TTTAAACTTATGTTTGTCAGTAATTGTGAAGTTTCAAACCTAAAACTTACCAATATATAAGTTTAAAGGTAATTGTAATTTATTTGTTGTCTATAAATTAGTTTTTCTTTCCGCACGTGCTAGGTGTACATAGTAGTAATTACGATGATTCCCCTAATTTGTCGGGGATGCGTCCCTTTTTAGCCCTTTGTATTCTACTTGGGAAAACTAGCTGGACTGCTGAGTTTAATTCCCAAGATGACTTCTGGTAGATTTACATACCTAATGCTTTCAGTATATTGTTAAGACTTTTGGTGGGGGTTGTACTTTGAATATGCTGTTATCTCCAAAGTTCAAATGAACTACATTTTGTATAATATTTTGTATAATATCTTTTCTCTGTATATACTCAACATAAAAGACAGGAAATTCTACCTAATCTAAGAATGCTGTTTTTATTTTAATGCTATTATAAGCTTCTAATAACAAAATTTTATTTTATTAAAGAATTATTATGAACTGATCACCATATTCTATGGTTAACAATAAATTACCTTGCTAATTTTAATATTCTTTTTTGCTTATTTCTTTCTCTTAGGTATGTATGGTCTGGTTTGTTAGTTGTTCTTGGTATATTTCTCAATGTTTACAGCAAAAATATGGATAAAATAAGACTGCCATCACTGTATGATCTGGTAAGCAAATCAGTGGAAGCAAGAAAGTCAAGGACGTTGGCACAAACTGTATAGGGAATGATTCATCCTGTTTAAAATAGAATTTTAAGGAAACAGTCTTCAATTAATTAACTTTACCAAAGGATCTGGAGACATGGCTATCCATTTGTGGATGGATTACACGTGAAGTGGTTTTGTGGTGTCAGCCTTTTCTTCAGAACACTTGTTTGACAGTTTGACTTGTGAAGCAAGCACAAGAGCTTCATCTAGCACACCCTACAATAAAATGTCAATATGAAGGACTGTAATTCCCAGCAATTTATTGAGAATTTCACTGGAAATGGACCATGTTGTAAGACTAATTGAATACCATTATGACATATCAAAGAAATTGATATGTAATAGATTGTTTTGTCTTCATTCCATTTGGGTGGTGTTATTTAAATTGATTCTCTGTTATAAGAGTAAGCTAAACTGATGAATTAAAATCTGGAGAGAGTAACATTCATTATAAATAAAATTACTCCGTGATTTTTCTTTAAAGAATGTGTTAATAGAATTTTGTTATAAAAAGGAAAGTAGAGGTTGGAGTAAGGCTTAACATAAACTGATTGAGTGATTGAGACAGGGTTTCACTGTGTCACCCAGGCTGGAGTGCAGTGGCATCATTATAGCTCACTGTAACCTCGAACTCCTGAGCTCAAATGGTCTTCCTGCCTCCCTCTTCTGAGTAGCTGGGACTACAGGTGCATGCCACCACACCAGGCTAATTTTTAAATGTTTCTGTAGACATGGGGTCTCACTATGTTGCCCAGGCTAGTCTCAAACTGCTGGCCTCAAGCGATCCTCCTGCCTCAGCTTCCCAAAGCACTGGGATTACAGGCATGAGCTACTGCACCCAGCCCTTAACAT